CAACCTCACAAGATTGGATCAGGAAAAAGTTGAAACCCTGAGCAGACCAATATTGAATTCTGCAATTGAACCAAAAAAGTCCTGGACCAGATGAATTCACAGCTAAATTATACGAGACATACAAAGGAGAGCCAGTACCTATTCTCCTGAAACCATTCCAAAATTTGAAGAAAAGGGACTACTTTCAAGTTCATTCTGTAAAACCAGCATTACTCTGATTCCAAAATCTGGCAAAGACGCAATGAAAAAAGAAAACTTTAGGCCAATATTTCTGTTGAACACAGGTGCAAAAATTCTCAACAAAATACTAGCAAACTGAATCAGCACATTGAAAAGTTAATTTCCTATGATTCAGTAGGTTTCATTCCTGGAATACAAGGTTAGTTCAACATATGCAAATCAATAAATATAATTTACTACATAAACAGAATTAAAAACAAAATCCATATGATCATCTGATAGATGTGAGAAAAGCTTTTGATAAAATCCAATATCCTTTCATGATAAAAAAAAAACCCTCAACAAACTAGACAATAAAAGAACCTACTTCAAATGAATAAGAGCCATCTATGACAAAACCACAGTCAATATCATATTGAAGCGAAAGCTGGGTCAAAACTGGAAGCATTTTCCTTAAGAGGTGGAATAAGACAAGGATGCCGACTCTTATCACTCCTATGCACTATGGTACTGGGAATCCTAGCCAGAGCAATCAGGCAAAAGAAATACCTAAAAAGCATTGAAATAAGAAAAGAAGAAGTCAAATTATCTCCCTACAAAAAAAGAAAAAAGAGAGAAATAAATAAATATACCTACGAATACATATAACTAAAGAAGTGAAGGATCTCTACAAGAACAACCATAAAAACACTTCTAAAAGAAATGATAGATGACACAACCAAATGGAAGAATGAGTATCATTAAAATGGCCATACTGCCCAAATGAACCTGTAGATTCCACACCATTGCTATCAAACTGCAGCTGTCATTTGTTATGGAAGTAGAAAAAAGTATTCTAAAATGCATTTGGAACCAAAAAAAGAGCCTGAATAGCAAAAGCAATCCTAAGCAAAAAGAACAAACCCAGAAACTTCACGCTATACTCTAAGGCTAGAGTAACCAAAACAGCATGGTACGGGTACAAAAACAGAACAATGAAATAGAATATAGAATACAGAAATAAAGCTGCCTACCTACAGCCATCTGATCTTTGACAAAGTTGCCAAAAATAAGCAATGGAGAAAGGACTCTCTAGTCAATAAATGGTGCTGGATTAATGAGTATCCATAAGCAGAAGAATAAAACTGGATCTATACCAATCACTATATACAAAAAATAGCTCAAGATAGATTAAAGATTTAAATGTAAGACTTCAAACTGTAAGAATTCTAGAAGAAATCCTAGAAAATACTAGGGTGTCTAAATACTAGGACTAAATCTGCAAAAGAAATTGCAACAAAAACAAAAATTGACAAGCAGGACTCAATTAAACTAAAGAGCTGCTGCACAACAAAAGAAATTCAACAGAGTAACAAGCAACCTACAGAATGGGAGAAAATATTCACAAACTACACCCCTGACAAAAGTCTAATGTTCAGAATCCATAAGAAACTTAATTTTTTAAAAATCCTCATTAAAATTTGTGCAAAAGACATGAACAGACACTTCTTAAAAAAACACACACACAAAAGAAAAAAGCAACATACAAGTGGCCCCAAGTGGCCCCAAAACACATCAAAAATTCTCAGCATCACTAATCATCAGAGAAATATGAATCAAAACCACAAAGAAGTCAGGCATGATGGCTCATGCCTATAATGCCAGCACTTTAGGAGGCCAGGGCGGACAGATCACTTGAGCCCAGGTGATACCTGCTCCACCTCTACAAAAATATCCACCTCTACAAAAAAGTACAACAACAGCAACAAAAATAACCAAGCATGGTGGCATATGCCTGTAGTTCCAGCTACTCAGGAGACTGAGGTTGAAGGATAACTTTACCCCAGGAGGTCAAGACTGCAGTGAGCTGTGATCACACCACTGCACTCCAGCCTGGGTGACAGAGCAATACCATGCCTCAAAAACAAACAAACAAAAAACTCACCAGATACTGGTGAAGCTTCAGAGACAAGGGAATACGTATACACTGTTGGTGGGAATGTGAATTAGTTCAGCCACTGTGGAAATCAGTTTGGAGATTTCTCAAAGAATTTAGCACCATTATTCAACCCAGTAATCCCTTTACTAGATATCTATATCTCCAGAGGAAAATAAATCATTCTACCAAAAAGATGCATGCACTCATGTGTTCTTAGCAGCAGTGTTCACAATAGCAAAGATGTGGAATCAATCTAATTGCCCATCCATCAGTGGTAGATTGGATAAAGAAACTGTAAGACATAGAATACTATGCAGTCATGGAAAATAATGAAATCATGTTATTTGCAGCACCATAGATGCAACTAAAGGCCGTTATCTTAAACAAATTAACAAAAAAACAGAAAACCCAGTACTGCATGTTCTCACTTATATATGAATGCTAAACACTGGGTATTCGTGGACATAAAGATGGGAACAATAGACACTGGGAACTCTAGAGTGGAGAGGAAGGGAGGGAGGAAAGGCTAAAAAAATCTGCTTATTCGGTACTATGATCACTACCTAGGTAGTGGGATCATTTGTACCCCAGACCTCAGCATCATGTAATATACCCATGTAACAATTCTGCACATGTACCCCTGAATCTAAAATACAAATTAAAATTATTTAAAACCTAAAAACTATAAAAGCAGGTTATGGAACAGTTAATTCAAAATCTAACTCAAAGAATGAGAAGCAAATCTCAATGTGAGTATTGTTGGTACTTGTCAAAAGCAAGTTAACCAGATGCTTTGTAGCCTTCAGCATGATTAATGATTACTAGAAAAAAAATGTGTTTTAAATTTGGACAAGGTTAAAATCTTTTTGATAAACTTTGGTCAAGTATTTTTGTACATTTAATACAGACATGTTTTATTAAAGCATATGCATTTAGGGATTCAAAACCATAAGCCTGAATTCATATTAAGAACCTTACATTATTTTTATATGAGAATAGAGGAATTTTTTTACATTCAAATGGTAGTTATTAGATAATTATTCTGTGCCAAGGTCTATATGAGATGCTGGTGATTCTCAGAATGAGACAGACAATGGTCTCTCCCACTACAGAATTTGCAGTCCAGCATATTTCCACCATTGTCCTGTCCCATAAACTGGTAACTATGTACAAAATATTAGAAATATGTTAAACGGTGCCTACAGTCTTTTAGCTAATGATATCTATGTAGCTAAACATTAATCTGTGAACTAGAAGCTGTTCTCAAAGCAGTAACTGTTCAGTAGAATTGTGCTCACTAGACTGTTTTGTTCAAATTTTCCACCTCTCAAAGGGCTCCTAACATATAGCACCCCTCTTTACTATCCAAATTCTGAAAAAGTAGAAAATAAAAGAGTTGCGTATCACCTTCACAACTAAAAAGATCCAAGCTGATAGATATGCTTAGTGTCTTTAACAGAGCTCTAGCATTAGGCCAATTAACTACCTAGTCGCAGGCAAAGTGGGGGGTCTATGTGGAGGGTTTCTGGGGAACAGCTTCTTCCCTAGAAGTAGGGTAAACTAAGTAAAGCATGCTCAGTTTATTATTAAATTTACTAATTTGACAAATCCCTTTATCTTGTAGAGGATGGGTAATGAAGCAGAAAGGCCAAGAATAAAACTACTTGAGCATCCACTGAAAAAAAAAAAAAAAAAAAAACAACCAACATCAAGAATAGGGAAATTGCTTTCCCCTAGTAGTATGTACTGAACATATGAGTAATAATGTCAGTTAAAATAATAACCCATTAGAGTAGGAAAATTTTTTAAGGTTAAATCTAATGATGTTTTCATACACTGTTCATTAAGAGGTACTAAAACATATTGTCAACATATTCTCTACATACAGATTATTTCCTTTGTAGATTATCCATAACCTATTTTTTTTCATCTCTAAGTGACTCTTCCCCTCCTTTTTAACACCCAATCACCTGATCAAAGCCAAAGAAACTGCATTTAAGTCTTTATCCTGCTCCTCACTAGTTATGTATTTTTTCTAGATCTCTATTGTTATCTGTAAAAGTGAAAGGGTGTAAATTGATGATCCCCCAAATCCTTCACAACTCTCAAATTCTAGAATTATTGTTGGCCTCCCTGCCTAGGTACAGTTGATATGTACCTAGGAAACCAAATGTAATTTTATATTTAGCTAAAGAAATATATGATTACAGGAGATAACAACTATGTCTCGCCCTTTGACCTTTTCTGGCTTTTATAATTTGCAATACACATTTTTTTACACATTGTTACTCTAAATTATATCTCTGTATTCTCTCTGCTCAGTTGCTTCCCAAAACAATATATGTGCTTTCATTATGCTGTTCCTAGGAGCAGAACCTATGACATTGTATAACCCATAGTACATTGTTTCAGGGCCATAGGAAATATATTAGAAGTTAATTTCTTTCCTGCTAAATCATTTAAAAATTTTTATTTCTGGGGATTGCTGTTTGCAAACTTGACTGTGACCCTCTGATTGTATTTCTATTTTTAACAAACTTATGTTCAAAATAGTTTACAGCACTAATATAAGTAAAGCTGCTAAATGTAAATGCTGAAGGCCAAATTGTACATAGTATTAATCTTATTGTTTCATTAACATATTGCATTGAGTGTTTGTATATATTTTTAGTATATCTTATGTGTCCATATATGTGCACGTATGGATACACAGCAGGTATACATGTTTTTCCTCTGCTTAGAAGGATGCTAATTCAAGAACTTACCATTTCAATGCCAGAAAAAAAGTGAATGCTGGTTTTAAAAGTAAGGAATTTACTCCCATGGTGCTTGTTATCAAATGATATATGGTAATTTCATCATTTTAAGTTATGCAGATGTAATGATCCAGTGTCTTTTAAAGGTATGGTGTGGAGCCTCCTGGTTTGATAAAATTGGAAAAAGAGATTGAACAAGAAGAAACTCTTTCTGCCCCTTCTCCTTCACCTTCTCCTTCATCAAAGTCTTCTGGAAAAAAGAGTACAGGAAACTTACTGGACGATGCGGTAAGTAAAATCAGTCAGACTTCTTACCAGAGCTTAGTCTTTCCTGTACTACAAAACACGTTCTGTGCAATGTCATATCAGTCTAAGCTTTACCTCTATCAATTTTCTTGAAATTTGTTTTAAGCCCATATGAAAAACTTTGCAGTCCTACAATTCATTTTGAGATTCAAAACTGAAACACTTAATGACACTTTATTTTAAACAACAAATAAAACTTTAGAATAATAAGTCAACTCCCTGAAAATTGTATTTGAAGACATGAAAGCCTCTTTGTCACTGGGTCACAATTCCCCATTTCACAGATAAGAAGCCTGAAGACACAAGGTCTTGAGGATTGTTAAAAGACGGGAAAGTAAATATGTGATAGAGAAGATAAGTGCCTTTTATGTACTACCATTGTTTTTCAAGTGCTCTCATATATGAAAGGCAGGTTCCTTCTCCAGGAATGGAAACGTAGAGTTGAGTAACCTGCTGAGGGGAGGAGAGGACCTTAGATTCCAACACAGTTTTGTCTAACTCTCCAAGGTCCCTCTACTTAGCAGAGTCATTGAGTCACAATTTTTGTAGTTAGGAAATGTTTTAACAGTATCCTCAGAATCACAGTAAACCATTTTTAGGTATAACAGTAAACACGGTGAATTAAAACTCTCAGGCGACCTTGGTTGTCTGTTAAGTAGTTCTTGGTTGTGAAAAGTAGTATGCATGTGCATATGCCCTCCACACATATATTTTAAGTGCCACTGTAAAAATGTTAGTAAATGAGATAAATCAGGAGTGACTGGGATGTTGTTTATGCAAAGTTTGTATTTTGGGAGCTGTAGTTGCTTTTGCATTTTATAGAAAATGATAATGCCAGAGGCATTACGCGGGCATATGTCTCACATACCTGGGGAGAGTCCTAAGAAACTAGCACCAACCACAATGCCACCTATAAAAATAGGCAGAACTGAAAAGGACTGGTGGTCCGTAGCTGTGATTTTCTTCCTCTAGGGTATGAATGGAAGAAAAGAGCTGGGAAAATGGTTTGACACTACAGGATGCAGAAAAGAGATTTCTCTGTGTTTTGCTTTTCTTCCTATGACACTACAAACTATATTGCAGATTTAGATGAGCAGAATGCAACAGTTCATCTGGCAGATTAAGAACCCTCATTTCTGTTAACGGCAGCAAACATTTTAGCTCTTAAAGGTATCATAACCTGTTTAATTTGCGGTCTTCTGGGTAACTGTTTAATCACTTGGGAACTAAAGAAGAATGGGCAAGACATTTTGATTTAATGCTACTGAAAGGATTTTAAAATCACATTACCTATTTGATGAATTTGTCATATGTCTTGCTTTTTTATAGTATTTCACTTTTTATTTTGTAATTGAGTAATACTATATTAGTAGTAGATAATGGTCTATTGTTTATATATTGATGAGAACATTTTTTTCTTCTCTATCAATTATACTTTTTGGTTAGACTTACTTTAGGGTAAGATGTTCCTCTAGTCTTTTTCTTATAAGTGTATTGCCCCTGGGGCAAATATACTTGCTTATAGTCCATTTCGCCTCAGCCATAACCTTCATTCATTTTACAAAATTGCCTTATAGTCGGGGTTCCAGATCACTGAAGAGTAGCTGGCCAATGTCCCCCTTAACCTCCTATTGAATGAATTACTGGATCAAATGAAATATTTAGTCCTAAAATTATGAGCCCACTTCCTGGTATTTGACACTGTTGATCACTCCATTCTTGAAATGTATCTCTACAACATTTCTGCTACCAGAAGGATCAAACTAAATGCACTTTGGATTTGATCAAAATTATATAGGGTTCTCTATAACATCTAGAGTGAAACCCAAGCTCGTTGATATGTCATATAGTTCATAGCCCTCTATGTTCTGGCCTACTGTGCGTTTTCCAGCTATTTTGTCCTCTGGATTAGTGGTCCCTGCATTTTGATGTAGCCACTGTTGCTTTTCATAGTATTTCTGTCTACTCACCTTTTACACTACTTTTAAATGCCTTTTGATCTTTTAAAATTCAGGTTGTGCTACCTCCTACATAAAGTTTTTTCTGGTATCTTTCATCCCAGGTATAACTGGCAAATTACTCCTTGGTGCTGCAAGTACTTGTATAAGTTTAATGAAGCATTTATCTTACTGGGCACAAATATCCTTTCCTGTCAAGGTGTAGACCTTGTACTCAAATACAAGGACCATATTTTATCCATCTATATCCAGTACCATGTTCGTTGGATCAGTTACCAATGTAGCTAATTAAAGTTTAACCTTCTCCCTTATTCTATTTATCCAAATTGGCCACATACTCTGCAAATGAATGCACTTTTCAATTCTGGTGTAGCATTGTAGAGGGAGGAGATATTGCCACTTGAAGCTACTTCTATGAACCTAGAAGAAGTAGCTAGAATGGTTTTCTTTCTTCACTAACTTGTCTCATATCTGGCAATCCTTGAGATGAGGAGAAAAAGAAGAGAGGGCAAGAAGGTGGTGGAAAAATGATGAAAATGGTTTTAGAGTTTTACCAATACTCTAGTTCAGAAAAAGAGAGTGAAATGAAGACTTTCCATACAATAGTAAGCCAGCCATTCCATGGTGGTTCTCCCCTACTCTCAATTTGCATGCTCTCAATTGAGAAAAACGGAAGGGATTTCATAGAAGCTTTAAACCTCCTTTAAAGTTTACTGGAGTTTAGAACATAACCATTTGCTTAATTAATAAGTTTTAATCAAATATAGGAAAGTAGATATTTCTGTATGTTTGCCAGCTAGAATACTGTTTCTACAAGTCTTTAAAATGGCATTTTTCAAGAAATGTTTGATCAAACACACCATGGTTAGATTAGTTTGAGAAATACAAATTACTATAGTCCTCATCTAGAGCCTGGAAGTACATTTTGGTATATCAAAGGCTCTGGTGAATTCCATAATAAGATCTTGTTTAACCTGGAATCTTCCAAACTTATTTGACCACAGAAGCCTCTTATAGTCCCATTCATTTTACATTGGGGAAAACTACATTGAACTATTTGCATTCTGTTTAAGTGATAGGTTTTTTTACTGAAGTGTTTTACTTCAGGAACTGTGGAGCAGAGAAAAAGTAACTTGAGCTTCACTAATGGTTTAAATCAGAACTTCATATATCTAATATAAAAGGAAATTGTTCCTATAGCAACTGCTTCACTGCATGTGAGACATATATTGCAGTTGGGAGTTGAAATTGATGTACCCCAACATGGGTTTTAGAATAGAGATATAAAGTAGAGATTGCTTGCAGAGTTCCTGCATTTAGTTAATAATACTGGCTATATTTACTCTGGGAAAGCTATTATCTGCCACTCCAAAAAAGAAAAAGAGGAAAAAGAGAAAAAGGAGAAGTGAAAAAAAACAAGAAGAAATAAAAAAGAGAGAAAGCAAGAGAAGTAGATCTGTGTTAAGATATTATATTCCAGTGAACAGTTTCAGCAGTAACTGCCAGTTTTGAAACCTTCAATGTTTCTTCACACTTCTTTGTTTGATATTTAAGGGAATGGTGGGAAAAAATAGTTGACCCTTTATGTGGAAAATACATCTCAACTTCTTTAATCAAGATATCGAGAAATAAACACAGTGATATCCATTCAGATTAATTTATTCTCCAGATGTCCTGATAGAGTGATTCAGCTGTGATAAACAGTGGAGTCAGGTTTAGTTCTCCTCTTCACTGAGCTAGTTCTCACACAATGAGTTGAATACAGTCCTCAGAAACCATTCTTACTTTCTTCCTCTTCTCCATCAACTTCCTCAGTATGGGGACGAGAGATAATGTAATTCTGAGTAATCAGGCTTCTCTTGAAATCCCATTTCAGCTGAAAACTGGCTGGGTTCCTAGCCAAGAAAGAACACCTTCCAGACTGACTTTTCCCTAGGTAATGCAAGAAGCACAGATGTCATCAGTCACTGTTTACTTAACAATATATTTCCACTGGCCACAGTCTAGTCATGTTTCTTCCACTTCTGCTTCCACCTCTCATGCAACTACAAAAACAGCCCTTGATTTTTAAAATCAACTCCATTTTCAAAGCCACAAAGGCATTAGAGAAGAGCAGGCCACTTGAGAAAATGTTTCCTGTATTTTACTTCATTTGATACCAAGAGGTTCTGTCTTTTGTCTAAGAACACTGAAAAATTGAAATACTTTCCAAACAGACTTGTGATTGTCATTTTTTAGTCAAGAAACCAGATGAACATCAATTTACTGTTTGGTTAATTACCGCATGGCAAGTAAAATTGTGCCAAGCATGATCCTCCTAAAGCTCAGGCCTCAGGCCATGTACTTTTTGGATGCTGTCAGTCTGATTTTCTTCTGAATGATCAACCCCTCCTGTTTTGCATCCTTGCTTTCCTCATGGAAGCCTTTATTTGTGGTGATAAGGAAAACTGTACCACTTCTAGCAATGGCATAAACATAATTTACATATATATATATGTATTTATATTTAAACATATTTTATAAACACATATAGAAAGAGATAGACATAGAAAAATACTGAAAATAGGAACTATAGACAGCATTCATTAGTCCTGTAAACCTACCCTCACCCCAGAATGTGGTTCTGAATTACTGGAAGGAAATGATGTGATCATTATTCAACTTTTGTACATCTTGTTTTATTATCATCATCCCATTCAGAAATAACCTTTCAAAAAATCTCTAAGAACAGAAGTCTATTAATACTGGGGTGAATGTGTCTATAGATCAAGTATAATATAGAAAAAATTCATAACACAAAGTCATTGCCCTAATCACTAACTTAACGTTAAGTAGTTTTCTCATTTTTCAATGAAGGCCATTTCTAAGTTTCTTTGAATCCATGCTTATTTAGTTACCCTAATTTTCCCATGTCCTGTATAGATCCATGTTCTTATTTATCTATTTAGTCAATATGCATTTAATGAATATTTATTTGCCATTAGGATGTGCTTTGTATTACTGATTTTAAAATATAATAAAATACTATCTTAACTCTTAAGGATTCAGTCTAGCAAGAAGACATTAATGTTAACCAATAAATGAGTTACAATATGCTATGATAAAAATAAGTACCAAAAGTCATAGGTTTATATGTCAGTAAAATTAGGGATGGCAGAAAGGACTGATGGCAATGTATATATTAAAATTGGTTCTTTTGTCCTTTTCTTCCAAAAATAGTGTTGGTTCTCTTTTTGTATATCCTTATTGAGTTGTAATTGTATAGTTTTTCAGATAAATTTAATTCAGGAATTTTTCCCTTTTTGTGGTTATTCCTCCACTGTTTTAGCTTTCGTACCTTCTGGAACCTTTCTTATTCTGGTGAAACTGAGTTGTTTAATTCCTTTACATCAACAGGTAGTTGAGTTCATGTGTTACTCCCTGCACAGTTTTTGCTTAGAAGGCTGATTAAAGTCACACATTGAATTATTTGAAGGAATGATTGCATTTTTTTCATGACTTAACTCTAGACACTATGACATCTTCGTGGAAGAATTTGGGTGAGGAAATCCAGGCCAATTTCTAAATTTGTTCTATATAGCTTCTAAATGCAGGCTGCACATCATTTACAGCTTTCTGTTTCTTCCATGGAAACATTTCCTCATAACACAGGACATTATTGTTTGGGTTGTTTGGTTAGTTAGTTGGTTGAAGAGCAGACAGACTGGGTTGTTCCCAGTTAAGGAAAACATAAACATAAAATCATTCCTAAAATCTTGGACTATTCTAGTAATCACAACTATTCATTAGCTTTATGCACATATCATTTAGATTATGTAGTTTTTAAAGAGTGAGAGAATAGATGTAATGGAGATAAAAATCTGATATGCAGGCATCGATTACATAAGGTCATATATAAGCTGTAAAACATGGTCACAGAAGTAGGGTTTGATAGGAATGACTGAGATGGAGTGAATTGCAGGGTAAAGCTAAGTAAATGAGAGATTAATTCTCAGAGAAAATCTTTGAGTTCAAAATACGATGAAACAATAGTCTCTTTAAAAAGATTTGTTAGGTTCATTCTCATTATTTTGAAACTGGGTAACATATAGTTAAAATTATACTGAGGTAATATAAACTCTCTGTTAACATACATTCTATTCTAGTTTTCAATAGGTTCACCTTGACAACCCAAATCTGCATGGTCTTTTTAGTCCTCCAAAAGTAGAAACCCAGCTGATCATTTATATTCTGTGATTCCTGTTGACTTCCTGCTCCTTATCCTCCAAAATCATCACTGTCATTAGCAACCTTTGCCTTAGTGCAGTCTTTGCCTTCAGATGTCTTTGGGACCTGACCTTTACATAGTAATGACTTAATGCGATATTCCTATGCTCACATAAAGAACAAGTTTAAAGTCATTAAGGGTTCATGGGCCTTGGAGTCCTTGGAGCAAATTAACATAAATTCAACCTAATTAAGAAGAATGAATTTGCCTGGTCTTCTATTTCAGGTGAAACGAATTTCTGAAGATCCTCCTTGCAAATGCCCAAACAAGTTCTGTGTGGAGCGACTCTCCCAAGGAAGATATCGGGTGGGAGAAAAGATCCTCTTCATCAGGGTAAAGTTTTACTTTTCACTTATCTTGTTCTTTATGGGAACACTCATAATTTGAGTTGGGGGAAATATGACAGACAACAGCAGGAAGTTCCATATGGTGCTTACAATTAAAGAAACATGATATGAATTTTTTTTAAGTAGCATACATTATAATGTACTACTGGAGGTTAAACAAATAGAACTGTTTTTCTCTTTGTACATATACCAAAACACATACACACCAAAGACACCATAGAGATCAAATAGAATGCAGAAGCCGTTCTACTTCTGTTCTGTTTTGCTAAGAATCAAGGGAATTTAATCTCTCAAAGTAAGTTTGTGACTTTTGCTAAGACCAATATTTTTGTTAAAAAATAAGAAAATGAAAAATATACATTCCTAGAAATCTGCAATTGTACATAGAAGTGATTTTCTGCTCTATGGTTTAGTCGTTTCTGAAGGAATGAAGGTTGTGACGGAAAAAAAAAAACCTATATTATTTCCTCAGTTGAATAAGTTAAAAAGTGTCTTGCTGTTATAGAGTAGAATGATTCAAATATATACATCTAGTACCAGCAATGTGTACTCTCACAACGCTCAAATCTGTAATGACTCTGTTGAAATTTTGCCCATGTAAAGTTTTCTTAATTTCTACTTTTGACCGAAAACGTATTTGTGTAACAGGTCTTTTTAAAGGCTCTGCAACATGTAGTTGAAAAAAGAAAGTTTAATCATAATTTTAGCCTTAAAATATAATGTTAATTATTTTGAATTTTAATCTAATTTTAGATTAGTATTTACTAATATATTTCTTAAGTTTCCAGGAAACGATTGTGATTCTGCTTTGGAATAGCAACAAAAATGATATAACAATATGTTATTATTAGGGATATGAGACAGATCTGGGTAGATGGCCTCACTAGGAAAGGCAGTTGGTTGCCTGAGTTGCTTATTGTTCTTTTGTTCTAATTGCAAGGATAGGATACATATTTTTTTAGTCAAGCTGCCTGCTTTCCCTTTCATACATTAAATAATAGTGATCTAGAATCTCCAGAGATATGTTTAAATTTTACCGGGTTGACCTTTCTCAATTGGTAATCAGTCTTCTTTAGAATATTAGGCTCCAGAGTTTAGAATCAAAATATAGAGAATCATTTTTTTACACAGTTATTCCTTTTTGTAATAAAAGTGTTAATAAAACACATGATTAATTATGTACTTCTCCCTCTAATGTAACCTAATATCTTCAGTCAAAAATATATGTTACGTAGGTTTATTTGCATCTGAACTTTCATATTTAGTCATTTGTCAAAGATTTTAATATCCGTGTTTATGAAGAACATGTTTTTAATGTTCTTACTATATAAGGCAGGTTTTTTGATGTTCCATTTTTCTTTTCAAGAAATGTTTATCTTTTGGTTAAATCTATTCATGTATTATTTCTAGAGAAAATGAGATTTGCTGTACTGATGTATTAATAGAGGCATCTATGTGCTTTTGTAGACAGGCTTGTTTATGTTCATATTCCTCCATTTACAGGTGGGGGACTAATCCATACCTAAATATAAAGAATCCTTTAGTACAAAGAAAAACCTCTGAGGTTTTAGGCAAACATCCTAAAAACCTCTTGCCAAATGGGAATTTTTTTGTTTCTAGTTTATGAAAAAATAATTTCTCAAAGCCAGATTTTTGCCCTGTGCTCTCCAAAGGGCACTGTTGTTTTTTGAACTATCAAATGCAGCTAATTTTTATTTATATTGTGCAGATGCAAATGTACTCTTCTCCAAAATGTAAATATTTCTGTTATTTTTCAGTGACTTTGAATTTGGAGAGCAATGATAAAACCTTGCTGATTTCTGCAGTAATAGAAATTTGGATTATTCCCATTCAACCATAATACATATCTTTGAAATGTAAATAGGTGGATCGCAGGACTCATGTTTGTTTATTCAATCAGTTGGTATATACATAGGCTTCAAGTATCAAGAAGTCATTTGGCAATACAAATTCGAATGAGCCTATAGAAAGGGATTTCAGAAATATGTCTTATGTTTCCTTAATTGCTCATATCTACTGAAAATTATGTTTCTTTAATTGCTCTTATTTACTGATAATTGCCTTTGTTAGCCTGTGTGCAATAATAATGTCTATGTTATTTGACTTATTTCCAATGTGATGGCTATGTTCTACCTAAGTACTCCATGCTGGAGTGCAGTGGTGTGATCTTGGATCACTATAACCTCTGACCCCCAGGTTCAAGCTATTCTCATGCCTCAGCCTCCAAAGTAACTGGGATTATAGGTGTGTGCCACCACACCCAGCTAATGTTTTTGCTTTTTCGTAGAGACAGAATTTTGTCATGTTGGCCAGGCTGGTTTCAAACTCCTGGCCTCACGTGATCAGCCTCCCAAAGTGGTGGGATTACAGGCATGAGCCATCACACCTAGCCTCTTCCAATAGTAATTTTTAAAATGGCCACAGATGAGCAGGATCAGCATCATCTGGAAACTTGTTAGAAATGCAAATTCTTGGGCCTCCTCCAAGACTTACTAAATCAGAAACTCTGATGGTAGGGCCCAGTCACCTATGTTTTAATAAGCCTTCCCAGTGTTTCATATGTGTCCTGAAGTTTGAAAACCACTTTAAAACAATGCATAGGAAGGGATTCAGTGTACCAACAACACAATTGGAAATCATTTGCATGTCTGGTCATGAAAGAATATTAGCATTCAGGTGCTAAAAATGATCATTTTGAAGGCTTCTGTGTATTCTTGGGAGGCAGTGCTTAAGACGTAATTGTAAGTGAAACAAATGGGCTTTTAAATTATATTTACCTATAAAATAGCTCTGTGTGGAAATAGGATGAAGACAAAGAAAACGTGAATAATAGAAAATGGTTTTTAATTGTGAAGGACACAGAACGAGAGTGATTTATTTTTTGTTCAGTAAGTTTCTAATGAAGATTTTAAAAATATGAACTCTTTAAGAGAAACCAGCAACCAGATACAGTTAAAAATTTGAGAATAAATTCAAAGCTCTCTGAAAGTTGTCAGGTTAATTAGCAGACTGCTCATTTGAATGGTCCTTTTGCTGAGCTTCTTATCTTCCAGAAAAGGGTAGGGTGGTTTTTTTGGAGTCATGGTGTTATTTAGACTACAGATAAATTTTGCATATTGTTGTGAAATTGTAGCATATTTTTCCTTAGATGAAGCTATCTTCCTTTGCTATTTTATCCCTCCATTTTGGAAACTGATGTTGTTTAGGATTAGTATTAGGAAATATGCAAATGTTTATTCACTGTCTGGATAATATGCCTTGTCTTTCCTTGTCTTTGCAGACCCTATCAGTGATCTACATACTCAGTTTTTTTCTCTACTAATCATTACAGTTTTATTCATTTGGTGTTCCATTCCTTTAGGGCTCAGTTTCAGTAATAGGAAAATAACCTAATGTGATAAACTTATTTGTGCTAATTCATGAAATGGATGCAGACAGCCCCAATGAATAGAACATCTATGGATAAGGTCTTTACACTCAACTAAACTGCTCTAATGTTCTGATTATAAAAATTTCTGGCAAAATAGCAACAAGTCAGGTCACATGTTGTGAGGTAGATGACATTTTGTGGTACTTGGTTTGCTCACTAATGTGATGAATACGTTTTTACTTAATTGCAATTTGTCACTACCCTAACATTGTACTTTAGAGTTGTTCCAAGTGTCATTCCCAAGAATAATAGTTCCAGAAGGTGTTCAAAAATATTATTTATAAAGAAAAGTTAACATGGTTAAGAGTTGAAACAGGTTTCTTTAATTGCTTATTTACTGATAATTGCCTTTGTTAGCCTGTATCAGAACACTTGATATATCTCATTATAACCTCTCATACTAGTGTAGAAAATGTTGTTGCCATTTCCATTTTATAGATGGGGAAACTGAGACACTGAGGTTGAGTAACTTCTCAAAGTTAAAAGGTAATAAGCGTTGGAAGTGGACACTAAACCCTGGCAGCCTAAATCCTAAATTTACACTCTTTACCACTAAACAATATTGACCTCTTCACCTGGAATTTCTTGGACGGTTCAATAAACTAATGTGATCTGTAAGCTCCTGGAGACAAGTATATTGTTCAGCATTTTCTAAATGTATTTAACCATAGAATAGTCTCTTATCCACCTTTTATCCCCCAGAGCATCTTCCTGTGCTAGGAGGTCATAAAAACATAGTTTGAGAAAGACATTGTCATTTGAAGCAAGTGTAATAATTTGTAACATAATTTATATTGAAAGTTTTCCACATCTTGCCACAGTTAAAACTCATGTATTCTAAGGTATTAAGAAATATTTAATTTGTACTCATTTTTACCTTCAGATTTCATTTGGAAATGATTTTCAAGGACATGACTGGAAAACCTTTAAGGAAAAGACAGCAAAAATTTAATAAGGATCATTTGTTTCCAGGCATTTGACCAGCTGCTTTATATTTATATTTATATCACAGGATTCTTTCTAAACCATAGAGCTTGGAAATTGTTTTTATCTTTTTGTTACAGGTGAAAAAATAAAGTCTTAGAGAAGTTCTTAAGTAAGTAGTATAATAAATAAAAGTCAAAGCCCTGACTTCCCAAACCTACAACACAGTCCCCTCCAAGCTGCCTCCTGTGGCATATCCATTAAATACAAGTATCTTATTCACAAGGCTAGTCCTCTAAAAATCATCCGTACCTTTTATGATATATTTAATGATCAACCATAGTAAAGTATTTTACACCATTTTTACTTTAAAGGTATTCAGAATACAAAGGGCATTCAATTGCATAGTCAATAGTGCTCAATATAAAAATATATATTTGCCTGACTATATTATGACAGGATAAAAAGTATGACAATATTTTCATTACTGTATGATGGGCACTGTATAAAATGCTTATGTGGTCTATCTCCTTAATAGGCAAAACTAACTAGAATTCTATAATAAGACATATTGTTATCTGTCCTTCCATCTTTTCAATAGAAATCGGAAG